TTTGTGTTTTATTTATATATTGACAAATATATTGATAAATATTGATAAATAAACACAAAGTCCTCTTCCAATGTTTAATTATATATTGACTTTGGTTCACTGATATTGATTTCAGATCTCACAAAGGTTAATCAGCACATTCATTTATTTGATGAATATAGGGTGCTATACGGGTTATACATTAGACTTTTGATTTATATAGAATTTATCATTTTTGAAATAATATCGTAAGGTATTTAAGGTAATCTGTATGGGAACGCGGCACTGTTATTTTTTATCTGGAGTCACAAAACACTGTTGAATGAGTTGGTGTGAGCGCCAGCGAACCACGGGTGTGTTTATTTATGCAATGAATTGATTATCACAGGCACCAATCACCATGATAGCTCACAAGTATATATATATTTTTCTGATTTTAACCCACACAGCGATCGGTGTCCCAGGGAGCGTGCACAGGCAGGGAAGCGGGAGGACGTTTGTAAACGACCACTCACTCCTGCGCTGCACAAGTGGTTAATTGGAAAAGCCCTTTGGTTCCCCTCTGACATATTGAGGGTAGAGTTGACTGTGTTATGCGGTCTGAGAGAATTTTCCGTATGACCTCTGAAACCATGCAAGTTATAATTTTTCAAAGTAGCTTTATACATTTTTTTTTTTAATTTTTTATATTATTATTTGTTTTTTTTTTTACATACTGTCACCCCAGCAGTATAGGGTCACCATGGTGACACTGCAATACTTGGGGGGGGGTTGATGAGGATTTTTTTTTTTTTTTTTTTTTACACTGATTGCTTTTGCACCCATAAAGGCTGTAGAAGCAATCATTTAATTTTCAATGCAAAATGGGACCCGTGGCTCTCTATTAGAAAAACACTCAGTGACCAACACTTCAATTTCTTTGTTTTTTTTTATTTTCCCTTTTTTTTATCTTTTCATTTTTTGATAAGTCAGTAGTATATCAGTGATTCATCATGACAGTATTACGTTATACACTGTATTCAGTGGTGTATTTAGGTTTTGTGCTGCCCTAGGCAACACAAAAATCAGACCCCCCCTGGGCTCTCCATACACCATCAAGCAGCCCGCAACCTCTCTTCGATCCCACCTCGTCCCCATGCCGCATGTGTCCCATCTTCCATCCCTTTCTTCCGAGGGGGTAATGCTGCCCCCTGAAAAATGACACCCTAGGCAAATGCCTCGTTTGCCTGGTGGTAAATACACCCCTGACTGTATTAGTGACTTAAACTGATTTCAGAATTTTTGTATACAAAATGTACACGATATCTCTTTGTACAAAGATATTTTGTTATGCTTTGTGATATTACATTGCATGTGATTTATGTAACGGCCTATCTGTTGTAATGTATAATTTACTTATACAAACCTTTTCAAATAAACAGTTTGTAAACAAAAACAAAAAAAAAAGATACAAACCTTTTCAAATAAACAGTTTGTAAGCAAAAAAAACAAAAAAAGATACAAACCTTTTCAAATAAACAGTTTGTAAGCAAAACAAAAAAAAAAGATACAAACCTTTTCAAATAAACAGTTTGTAAACAAAAACAAAAAAAAGATACAAACCTTTTCAAATAAACAGTTTTGTAAACAAAAACAAAAAAAAGATACAAACCTTTTAAAATAAACAGTTTTGTAAGCAAAAAAAAAAAAAAAGATACAAAACCTTTTCAAATAAACAGTTTGTAAGCAAAAACAAAAAAAAGATACAAACCTTTTCAAATAAACAGTTTGTAAACAAAAACAATAAAAAGATACAAACCTTTTCAAATAAACAGTTTGTAAACAAAAACAAAAAAAAGATACAAACCTTTTAAAATAAACAGTTTGTAAGCAAAAAAAAAAAAAAAAGATACAAACCTTTTCAAATAAACAGTTTTGTAAAGCAAAAAAAAAAAAAAAAAAAAAAGATACAAACCTTTTCAAATAAACAGTTTGTAAAAAAAAAAAAAAAAAGATACAAACCTTTTTCAAATAAATAGTTTGTAAACAAAAAAAAAAAAAAAAAGATACAAACCTTTTCAAATAAACAGTTTGTAAGCAAAAAAAAAAAAAAAAAAAAGATACAAATCTTTTCAAGTAAACAGTTTGTAAAAAAAAAAAAAAAAAGATACAAACCTTTTCAAATAAACAGTTTGTAAGCAAAAAAAAAAAAAAAAAAAAAGATACAAATCTTTTCAAATAAACAGTTTGTAAAAAAAAAAAAAAAAAGATACAAACCTTTTCAAATAAATAGTTTGTAAACAAAAAAAAAAAAAAAGATACAAACCTTTTCAAATAAACAGTTTGTAAACAAAACAAAAAAAAAGATACAAACCTTTTCAAATAAACAGTTTTGTAAGCAAAAACAAAAAAAAGATACAAACCTTTTCAAATAAACAGTTTGTAAACTATAAAAAAGAAGGAAGAATAAAGAGTAACCGTTTTTTTTTTTTTTTTTAATTAAGTGAGGTATACATCAGTTTTTAGAAATGTATTATTTGAAAGAAATATAAATTGCTGTTTGACAGGAAAGATAAAGGTGAGGTTTTTAGCACGTTCTAGTAAAGTGGCGCTGCGTGTTCTAGTCCTCCATCCGTGACGTATGAGTACCTGTCACTGCATTAATAACACTGATCACCAACCGGAACAAAGACCCCCCCCCCCACCCCCACCAAGATGTGTTTTTCTTGGAGTGAATTTTCTCTACCTGGGAAATGTCCTGTAACAACTTGTCTGTAATTTGCCGGTAACAGGAGCTTTTCTTTACTACATAGTTAGGCCCCATGTACACGGGACACTTCTGAACGATGGAAACTGACTGCTGGAAGACGTAGGTTAAAAAAAGTCTGTTTAGCCGTGTTTGCATACCGCGTTTATGTGCGTTTTTGCGTTTAGAAGCATTTTTGAAAGATAAGCACAGGAGAACCTCCCAAATGCCCAGAATGCACTGAAAAGTGGTAAATTATTAACTATTTCAGACTGTTTCAGAGAAATACAGAGAGTAGAAAGCAGAGACAGCAGTATGTGTTGACATTAGCTTAGGTGTGAGTTGCTCATTAACATTTCTTTTGTTTCCAAGGTTAGGAAAGGTGTCTGGTGGAGGGAGTCATTAAGGCCACCTGGCAGGGGGTTTTCATGAGGAATTTGAGGTTTGAATGGTCATTAACATATCTTTTGTTTCCAAGGGTGGGAGAGGTCTGAGGTGTGAATGGTCATTAACATATCTTTTGTTTCCAAGGGTGGGAGAGGTCTAAGGTGTGACTGTTCATTAACATATCTTTTGTTTCCAAGGGTGGGAGAGCTCTGAGGTGTGAATGGTCATTAACATATCTTTTGTTTCCAAGGGTGGGAGAGGTCTAAGGTGTGACTGCTCATTAACATATCTTTTGTTTTCAAGGGTGGGAGAGGTCTGAGGTGTGAATGGTCATTAACATATCTTTTGTTTCCAAGGGTGGGAGAGGTCTGAGGTGTGAATGGTCATTACCATATCTTTTGTTTTCAAGGGTGGGAGAGGTCTGAGGTGTGAATGGTCATTAACATATCTTTTGTTTCCAAGGGTGGGAGAGGCCTAAGGTGTGACTGCTCATTAACATATCTTTTGTTTCCAAGGGTGGGAGAGGTCTGAGGTGTGAATGGTCATTACCATATATTTTGTTTCCAAGGGTGGGAGAGGTCTGAGGTGTGAATGGTCATTAACATATCTTTTGTTTCCAAGGGTGGGAGAGATCTGAGGTGTGAATTGGTCATTAACATATCTTTTGTTTCCAAGGGTGGGAGAGGTCTGAGGTGTGAATTGGTCATTAACATATCTTTTGTTTCCAAGGGCGGGATAGGTCTGAGGTGTGAATGGTCATTAACATATCTTTTTTTTAAGGGTGGGAGAGGTCTGAGGTGTGAATTGGTCATTAACATATCTTTTGTTTCCAAGGGTGGGGAGGTCTGAGGTGTGAATGGTCATTAACATATCTTTTGTTTCCAATGGAGGGAGAGGTCTGAGGTGTGAATTGGTCATTACAATGTGTGACAAGCTTGGTAGGAACATCCTGTGTTCAGTGTTTTGTCCATCTAAGTACCTTGAGAACGCTTTGCATGCATTTTTCATCATGAAAAAAAGCTTTGACCAGCATCGTGAACTGGAAGAGTTAAAACAAAAATTTTAGCCGCAAACGCTTATAAATGCAATTTGCCGCATTTAGCAACGTTTACAAGCGTTTTGCGTTTAAAACGCTGATAAAATCGACTGCTGAACACAAGTTTTCTGCGTTCAAAAAAACGACTGTAAACTCAAATGCCTGTAAAGGACGATGTGTACACGACACATAGGAAAACATTGGGGAGAGTACAGGGGCTGCTGAAAAAAAAAACACAAAACAGCTCCTAAACATGACTTTATCAGCTGCAGTGTACATGAGCCCTTAGTCTAGCTAAAAAAAGACAAAAGTCCATCCAGTTCAATCATTAAAAAAAAAATTATAATCCTACACCCACAGCTGATCCAGAAGAAGGCAAAAAAACCCAGCAAAGCACGATCCAATTTGCTCCTGCAGGGGAAAAAATTCCTTCCTGATCCCCGAGAGGCAATCGGATATTCCCTGGATCAACGTCACCTATAAATGTTATATCCAGTTATATTCTGTG